GGCCGCAGGCCGTGCGGGTGTGGCAGGATGCCCGCATAGGAGCCGGCTGCAGAGGGGGTGAGTCCCAGCATCTGTCAATGTGCCATCGTCAGACGAGGACAAGTCGGTCAGTAAATGGCTGCCTACTTACGGAAAGTGGGAAATGCCAAGCTCCTTGGAGACCTCTCGTCTCCTCTCCAGACAACACAGAAAAGGGGTACAGATGCCTGGCTTCCAGGGACACAGCTCAGCTCGGGCGGCCCCTTCAGTCCCTGCTGTGCTGGCCTGGTGGCTGTGAAGTGGGTTTACAACTGCTCAGCGACCCAAGGGCTCACCGAACTTGAGCAGGGAAGGCTCGTGCCGCTGTGGGACCCTGGGGGCTAGGCCGAGGCCCCTCTGCAGCCGCGGCTGCTGTGGTGTCTGCCTGGAGCTGCCCTGAGCCCTGCACAGGAAGCAGCGTCTGCAGGAGGCAGTGTACGCCCAGCTCTGAAACATGGCGGTGTGCCCCACGTCCACTGAGCGGGCATTCACTGACACAGCCAGCGTGCCCGTCAGAAGCTGGTAATAATTTCACTGAGAAATGTTATTCAGAATAATTACACGGCCGATTAAAATCTCAGCCCACACACTTAACATGATCCTCCTGTGTCAGACACACGGCTGCGATGCTGGATGCACCCACCAGATGGCAGCAGACGTGTGTGCGGCAACAGCCTTGTTTGCAGCATTTTCATTCCTTTTTTTAACTTCTGAAAATGAAAGATTAAGCTAAGCTTTCAAATTAAATGATCCCCATTGCAAAAGCGTTTCTGGAACACAGAAACGCTGGATGTTCTGCCCCGACTCCCTGCGTTTGGCGCTAGGCGCGATCCTGTCACTGCGGGAGGAAGCACTTGCACAGAAAAGCCCCCTCATGCCCTGATTTCCTATTGATGTGTCTTAGAAATGCAAATAAAAGCCCAAGGGCGGAAGAGGTACCTTTCCTGCCTGAGGAGGTCAGTCCCAAGGTTAATGAAACACCAGCCCTGCCTGCAGAAAACCTGCTCTTCCGTTCTCTGCATAAGAATGTACTGGGAGCTGGAGAATTTCCGGAGCAGCTGACATTGCCCAGAGGCGAGGGTGGAGGCCTCACTGCACGGATCTGGCTCAGGCTGGGGTTTCAGGGTGGCCTTGGCTGCCAAGCCATCTTAGCCCAAAGGCAGCCTCTAGGGGTCTGAGTGCCTGGGGCAGGATGGGCAGCTTCCTGGGAGGGTGGAGAGGAGCTGGATGAGGCAGGAAGGTGCAGTGCCAGTCATCCTTCACTGGGATCGGTAGACATGGCGACGGGAAACGCTCTGAGCAAAAGCAGGGCTCAGAAAGCGTGTTCGTGCCCCGTGTTGGGGAGGTGGAGTGGAGGCGGGCGGGGGCGCATGCAGATGGCAGTTCAGCATCCTGAGACGCTGGGCCTGCTCACGCTTTGTGGGCCCAGGCTGCACAGCCGTCCCCGGCCGGCTGA